GGACCCTGCAGACCCACAAGGACATAGCTGCCCAAGGCCTTAGGAGGACAGCTCTTACAGCAGCTTGTCCTGGATGTCAGACATGGTGTCAAAGGAGATTATTTTGGACCACTAAGATTTAATGAGTGCCCTGTTGGGTTTTGGATGTGCATGGGGCCTGCAGCCCCTTTGTTCTGGTCAATTTCTCCCTTTTGCAATGGGAGCATTTACCCAATACCCATACCCCCAATGTATCTAGGAAGTACATAACTTGCTTTTGATTTTACAGGCTCATAGGCAGAAGGGCCTTGTCTCAGATGAGACTTTGGACTTGGACTTTTGAGTTAATGCTGGAGTAAGACTTTGAGGAACTGTTGAGAAGGCATAATTGTTTTTGAAATGTGAGAAGGACATGATATTTGCGAGAGGCCAGGGGTGGAATGATATGGTTTGGCTCTGTGTCCCCACCCAAATCTCATCTCGAATTGTAATTCCCACGTTATCAGAGAAGGGACCTAATGGGAGGTGATTGGATCATGGGGGCAGTTTCCTTCATGATGTTCTCATGATAGTGAGTTCTCACGAGATCTTGTGGTTTAAAAGTATGGCACATCCCCCGCCTTGCTCTCTCTCTCGCCACCATGTCAGACATGCCTTGCTTCTCCTTCACCTTCCACCATGATTTTAACTTTTTTGAGACCTCCTTAGTCATGTGAGACTGTGAGTCAATTAAATCTCTTTATAAATTAAATTATCCAGTCTCAAGTAATTCTTTATAGTAGTATGAAAATGGACTAACACAACTAGTGATTCCTAACCTTTTGAGAATGGTATCACCCCAGCCATGTTTCATTTTCCAGTGTTCCTTCTTCAAGAAGCTAAATATCCATAACCATTCATTCAACCCATCTTCACCCCATGACCACTCTATTTAAAATATCACTGCAGTATGGAAATGGCCCTTCACTATTTTCTCCACCTAAGACAGGCTTTTTCATTCATCCTTTCTTTGGTCACGCAAGATCTATACAGGCAACCATATTTGGGATTATTTAAAAATAAACCTTAAGTCATGAAATCATAGAGGGGCCAGATCAATAAAATATAAGCCCTCCAAATTCATAAAATACAAATTTCTTCATTCAATCAGGTAAACTTGCAAACTAGTGAGTTCTGATAATTTTGCAGTAACTCAGGTTGTTTTAATTCTTTCAAGAGATCTCATGGAATTAAGATTTTAACTTATACATCCATATGAATGTAAACATACCCATGCATATATCCAGGATTTGTTTTGTTTTTTTGTTTGAGATGGAGTTTCACTCTTGTTGCCCAGGCTGGAGTGCAGTGGCGCAATCTTGGCTCACCGCAACCTCTGCCTCCCGGGTTCAAGCAATTCTCCTGTCTCAGTCTCCAGAGTAGATGGGATTACAGGGACCTGCCACTAGGCCCAGCTAATTTTTTGTATTTTTAGTAGAGACGGGCTTTCGCCATGTTGGTCAGGCTGGTCTCAAACTCCCGACCTCAGGTGATCTGCCTGCCTCAGCCTCCAAAAGTGCTGGGATTACAGGTGTGAACCACCGTGCCCAGAATATTCAGGATTATTTATATCAGAACTGATCTATATGATTTCTACTAGAGATTTTTACCCTTTAGGAACTGTAACAACTTACACTTATTTATTTCGTAATATGTCTCTCTTAAAAGCATGCTACAAATCAATTAGCTTTGAACCTAGACCAGAGGAAAACACAGGGTCCCTTTCATTTCTGTGATTTATTTGAACCCATCCATCCTCAAAGATGGGCAGACCTAACACTACCATTTTTCATTCCCATTATCCTCAAATTCATGTCTATTCTGGTTTGATAAAATTTTTATAGTATAAGATAATGAAACAAAGACAACACAATGCATGGACTTAATGAATCTTCTACTCTACTAGTTATAAAAACAGGAAGACTAACAGCTAACTCTTAATGAGTGCTATGTGCCAGGATAAGTTCTCTGAACATATTTTCTCATTTAATCCTTACAATACATGTTTACGAGGCAAATAAATTGTCTTTTAAAAATAGAACTACGACTAGCTTTTGTTTATGGCGTATTTTTGAGATTCTCACCTGTATCACACGCACATCACTGAAAAAAGAACTGAGAGGAAGCTGGATCTCCCTAAGCCTCAGTTTTCCTATCAGGTTATACAACTGTGTCATTCTTTATTTCTAGAATTTTCCTATGGTTGCAAAAAAATGTTGAAAATTTTCTACATCTATAACATTTTGGATGTGCAATTTTCATCTTATTGTGTTCCCTCACATATGGTGTTCTTGCTCAAAGAGCATCAGTATTTTTAACTTGCACAATATTAGTAACCACTTTGAATTATTCTTCGTTGACAAGTATCCAAATATCTATCACAAATCAGAAAATTACATGTATTATTTAGGCTAGTGTTTTCATTGATCTTTCAGACAAATTTTCCAATAGAATCACTGTATTTTACATTTGGAAGACATCATGAAGACAATTTAATATGAAGTTATCTTTGTACAAGTGAAAATCTATAGCGCAGAGAGGTTTAAGTGTCTCCCCTAGGTCAATGCTTAGTTAGTAGTAAAAACCACTAATGGCAGCCCTGTGCTTTTTCTGTATAAAAACATTAAAAGTTATTATAAAATTCCTATTTTTATGCAGCACCCTGCAGAGGATGCACCAGGAATAAATAATTGGCACATTATTATCCTATCAGTACTGTAATGTAATACTTTATCGGTTGTATAATGCGTTCATATATCATTGATGTTTTGGTCACAGTTTTTTTTTTACTGTATGTCTTATATCCTTAACTAGATTGTGACTTCCCTGTGGTTGGCACATTTTTTTTTTTTTTTTTTTTTGAGACTGAGTCTTGCTCTGTCACCCAGGCTACAGTGCAATGGTGCAATCTTGGCTCACTGCAACCTCTGCCTCTTGGGTTCAGTGATTCTCCTGCCTCAACCTCCTGAGTAGCTAGGATTACAGGCACGTGCCACCAAGCCTGGCTAATTTTTGTATTTTTAGTAGTGACGGGGTTTCACCGTGTTAGCCAGGATGGTCTTGATCTCCTGACCTCGTGATCTGCCTGCCTCAGCCTCCCAAAGTGCTGGGATTACAAGCGTGAGCCACGGTGCCCAGCCCACAATTTCTTTTCTAAATGTTTCTCATAGCTTTTAATAAGTCCTAGACATATGCAAACTACTTAACAGAGACTGACATAAATGTATTTAAAACTAACACCATAATGCTCATTAAGAGAGGTAAATGACTCTAATCCTGTATGGATGCAGGTGAACTTGTCAGTCTGAAAGGAGCAAGTTGAGAAAATGCCCTCATTTCTTATCAAGCCTGAGACATTTCCTGGGTAAGTGGTTTTAGGATTTGAAGCGATTGGTGAAGGTTGAAACAGAAATTAGAAGGAATGATAAGGGAGTTGTCTAACCCTCAAGGACATGTGGCAGCATAGCAGATCAAATTGATCAATAAAAATAATGACAAAGCACTTACTAAGCATCGGGCCCTGCTCTCAGTACTCTGTCTGTATTAAATCATCACCTCACAACAACCCTAGGTATTTTCCCCATTTTGTGGATGAAAAAAATTGAGGCTCAGAGAGGTTAGGTGATTTGCCCAAGTGAACTAGCTAGTAAGTGGTAGAGCCAGGTTTTAAACACTGACTGCTCCCAGGCCCTAAGCTCCTAATCACAGTGTGATGGTTAGGATAAGACCAGGTAAGCAGGTGGTGGTTAATACAATGCCTAGCAAATGCATGGTCCCCTAGTAGAAGCTCAACTGGTATTAGTTCCCTCTGCTTTCTGGTTTTCAACCCTCTCACCCCATATTTATTTACTCATCCACTCCTCACTCACCAAACACACACACACAATGACACATTCACACACAGTCCAGTCTTTAACAACAAAGTCCACACTCAGGTATCTAGGTCACTAGGTGTCAAATTTATACATATATCCTTCTTCCTGATAGGATTTCAGGTCACATACATAAAATGAGTCCTAGGACCAACCTCCGCTCTCCCCATCACTCTCCAAGATGAATGTAAATACACACACGAACACTGACTCTGGATTCCAAACATATGCATATGCATAGCCTAGTATAAGGCAGAATTCAACTCCGCACTTTTCGTTTTCCGTTATCCAGGGAAATGCATGAGTTACCATGACAGATGCCAAAGACTTTTGGCTCTGGTAGTGGAAACTGGGAGGCAGTGGTGAAATGAAGTAAGAAATTCCAGGGCCAGAAGGTGGATGCAAGTCAGCAACGGCTTTTCCCAGGAGCTTGCTCTTTTGGGTTAAGTGCTACACGTACAAGCCCCAACCCGCTGCATAAGCCACCCTATTCCGAATCCCGCTCAGGCTGCAACAGATGCACACACTGCAGGAAGCCTCATTTGCAGGAGATGAGTGTTCCCTTGCTCTATTTTAATCCTGGCAGCCCAGCCGGAGAAGGTTTTGTCAGAAATGGTGGAAAACAGTGACAACCAAGCTTTCTGGAGTAAAGGCTAGGCAACTCAGGAGGAACGAATCACGACTCGCACAGTATTTAATAATTCAAGGGAAAACAAGTATCCTTCCCGCAGGCCCGCACTTTTGCAGCCAGCTTGGGCAGCCGTGGTAGCGCCTGGGCCACGACCTTCCGGGCGCGGTGGAGACGCGAGCAACGCTGCCCCGCGGCTCCGGAAACACCCCTTCCCCTATCCTCAAGGACCAAATCCGTCCTGATAAACACCCCTCCTGGCCCTACAGTGGGAAGGGCAAGTTCAAACGCAGGACGTCAAGCCCACACGCCTAGAGACCCGGCCAGGCATCCCCCGCCCTCTTCGCTGCGCAGTCGCGCATGGTGAGCAACAGTCCCCACCAACCCCACTTACTGCGCCTGCGCACTCCAGGGGTGCCCCCACGCCCCTTTCCGAGGCCTAGCGCCTGTCGCTTAGCAACGCGCGAGTCATAGTCGCTTCGCTTTGCGCGCGCTTTTCCTGGCAGGGCTGCGTCCCTGTTCTTCCCGGGAGGCTCCTCGCTGCCTGGTCCCGTAGAGGCCCATGGAGGGAAAGGAAGATAAGCATCAGTAAGTGCTGGGGTTTCGTGTCTTATTTCCCCTTCCAAAAACTATTTTCCTCCTTCAGGGGGAGGCCGGGGTCCAGCACGGACAGTCCAGGCCAAGCTCAGACAGTCCTCTTGCTTCTCTAATTTCCACTTGGCTGAGCGCTTACAACAATAATTTTTAAAACACACCGTTTTACTGAGCACATACTGTGTGTCAGGGACTTGACTTGCATTACTAGGTCTAAAATTCTTGAAGTCATCCACAATTCTCACAATTATTAGCAGATTTTGTAGGCTTTACCTTTAAAATTATCCAGAATCTACCACTGTTCATCACTTTCAGTACTGTCCCCACCCAGTCCCAAATACCAGCTTCTCTTGCCTGGATGCTGCAACAGCCCTCCAGTTGGTGGCTTTGGTTTTCCCTTTCCCCTCTGCAGCCTCCTCAACACAGCAGTCAGAGCGGTCCTTTTACAGCCCAGGTTAGATCGCTGTTCTCCATCCGACATCGTAGAGTAAAAGCCAAGGCTCGTCCAATGGCCTATGAAGTCTACACAACGCGCCCTTTCCCGTTTCTTGCCTCCCTCTGACAGGACTCTGCTACAGCAAACAGCCCTTTCTGCTATCATCTGCAGTGATAAAGACCAACATCAGCAGCACCTGGTTGTTAGGAATGCAAATTTTGGGGACTTCCCACCCCCGAGACACACTGAATCAGAAACTCTATGGCTAGGGCTCAATAATCTGGCTTCCACCAAGGCATCCAGGTGATTCTGATGTACCTTAAATTGAGACTATTAATCAAGGTAGTACATACAGCTAGTCAGGAATGATGTGGAGCCAGTGATAACTTCTTCCAAAGCCTGTATTTTTGACCCTAGAACAATGGTTCTCACACTCGAACGTGCATAAGAATCAGCTAAACAGCTGGTTAAAACACGTTCCTGGGAACCAGCCCCAGAGATTCTGAGTTTGTAGTACTCACTAAAAACAAGTAAACAAAAAACTAGGTACATAAAAGAAATGGGGCCCATAAATTTGTATTTCTAACAAGGTCACAATTGATGCCAGTGCTGCTACTCCAGTGCCCATACTTTTAGAAGCAGTGCGCTAAGGATGGTTACACTTCTGCTGGGAAGCTTTGGCAGTTACAGTTCACTCTGCTGGAATGCTTTTCCCACAAATATCCACTTAGCTCTCTCCTCCCCTCTTTTTTCAATTGCCACCTTCACAGTGCAGCCTCCACCCTACCTAAAAATGCAAACCTACCTCCCACATACATGCACTCCCTTTTCCCACTCCCTATTTTATTATTGTCCTTAGCACTTAACAGACTATGTAATTTACTTTTTCATCTGCCTTTCCCCCATTAGAATGTAAGCTCTATGAGGGCAGGAATTTTTTGTTTTGTCACTGCTTTATCGTCAGTGCCTCCAACAGCACCTGGCATGCAACTCAATAAATATCTGTTGAAACAATGAATTATTCAATGTTATTCTCCTATCTCTTACAATAGGTATTGTTCCTATCATGCAAATGAGACAAAGGCTCAGATATGGCAGAACTGGGCTTCCAGTCCCTGTCTGACTCACTTCAGAGCCCATCAGTGTTTTTATCTGTGCTTTTCTTCTGGCAAGAGATTGCTAGAATCATATATTTCACGCTTACTTATCAACCCATAGGCATTCATACCACAAGTGCTTAATCAAATGAATTTAACTATATAAGCAAATAGCCCCAGTCCTTTTCTTCAAGGACTTGATCACTACAAGTGTATATTGTTGGGTGATAACTATGAGAAACAGGTGGAAAAAACTGATGCCAGAAGCCTACAATAAATTGACCCCAAAGACTCTACCTTTAAATAAATAATTATATCTCTGGAAAGGTAATAGAAAAAGGTTTAGAAGTTTTTTACACTTTACCAGTAATCAGTTTTTCCAAATCCTTTGCAGAAAATAATTTTTGGGAAAAAGGAACTAGAATCCAAGGATTCTGAATATTGTTTTTATGTGTACTGGAGGGGTGGTTGAGGGTATTCAAACAAAGCCAGAGTAAACAACTCCAGCAGATTCACCAGAAATATGTAAATATTATAATGGCGGTCCATTTACCTTGGATGAACAGGACGCTTTCCCTGATGTTGGGCACGTGATGAATTCAACAATCTACACCTTCATGGAACTTATTGACTAGTAAAGGATATTTGTAGTGCTTACTAAAAACAAGTAAACAAAAAACTAGGTACATAAAAAATTGTGGTGTTAATAAAAGAAATGAACAAAGTACTAAAATAGAGAATACATGTGGTAGGGGAAGGAAATCTAGGAAAAGCTGCTGAGGAGATGGTTTTAAGCTGAGACCTAAATATCCTGAGCCAGCTGTGCTGGGAGCTGGGAAAGAGCTGTCCAGGCAGAGGGAAGAGCATGTGCAGGTGCCGTGAGGGAAAGAGATTGATGTATCCCTGTAACTGACAGAAGGCAGTCTGGTTGGAGGGTCTTGAGTGAGGTTGAAGAGATTCACTGGGGCAACTCACACAGGACCTTAGAAGTATAATTAGGAGGCAGTATTTTATTGCAAATGAATGGAAAACTACTTGAGGGTTTTAATTGAAAAGTGACGTGGGCCAGGCACGGTGGCTCACGCCTGTAATCCCACCACTTAGGGAGGCCGAGGCTGGCAGATCACCTGAGGTCAGGAGTTCAAGACCACCCTGGCCAACGTGGCGAAACCCCGTCTCTACTAAAAATAAAAAATACAAAAGTTAGTCAGGCGAGGTGGTACGCACCTGTAGCCCCAGCTACTCGGGAGGCTGAGGCAGGAGAATCACTTGAACCTGGGAGGCAGAAGTTGCAGTGAGCGGAGATAGTGCCACTCCTGCCTGAGACAGAGTAAGACTCCGTCTCAAAAAGGGAAAAAAAGGAAAACGATGCGATAGAAGTGATGGACCTGGCATTCATTTGAAGGAAGGCAGGTGTTATACTTTAACGGCTGTGTGTAAGGTTAAACAGTGCTGCTACCTGCTTTCTCTGTGAATTTGGGGTTTCATTGACTCACCTGCTGTGGGATCACGGCTTTGATTTTAAAAGCTATGTAAAAAGTATTCAAATTCATATATTTCATTCTTTATTTTTCAAGTAGGTTAATTTAAAAAATACTGCCTTTTATAATTTCAGTTTCTCCTTATTTGAAAGGAGAAAAATCTGATAAGCTGTTTCTTCTTGTACATTTTAAAAATATTTTATTTTAGTAATTTTCATATTTGTAGCAGTGTCCTTATTAGTGGCAAAAAATGAAGAGATTTATTTTGACTGCCATATAGTGTTCTTTTCTTGAAAAGATAATAATGGTGCTCCTTTGGTAGCTTTAAGTTTGCCAGACAAGCTTTTGAAAATTAACTGGTGTATCCTTGTCCAGATAGCTGTTTACTAGGTCAAGGGGGGAATAAAGCCATTCTCTTGGTAATAAAACTTTTAAAGAAGATGAGTTAAGTATAGGATGTAACTTGTCCACACACGTAAGTACTGCAAACATGATTTGGAAGCATAATCCAATCACTACTCTTTCTTTACTCCAAGCAAATGAGAGGTGGTGCACTGCACTGGTATATTATAATGAGTAATCATTATTAACACAAATCCCTTTATCGCTTATATGATTTAGAATTAGAAAATGGCCTCCTACATTTTAATAGCACAAACCATTTTAACTATTAATACAGCCTAAATTGTCTTGACTGATGTTTGTAATATATTTAAATCTTATTTTATGTAATTTTGACTCAATATTTTAATGGTTACTTGGGTAAATGATTTACTATTTGTGTTTTTCAGACAGCATAAAATAGAGGATGCTGCTATAGCATATGTAACTGAAAATGAAGAAATTAAACATGAAAAAAAACCTGGAAAAAGCATGCAACATTCAAAACCACATGTCGGAAGAGGACGTATATATTATGCTAAATTCATTAACACAAATGCAAGAACATACAATGAACCAGTTCCCTACATAGATCCCAAAAAAGGGCCAGAAATACAGGTTGGACAGATGTTCATTGTATACAAATAGAGATTTAGATTCAGACGCTGTTTTGCAGAATAATTTGGTCACACTATAAAGGATGAGACATATCTCAGAGTAGTACCTATCATAATGCAATAGTTAAAAGCAGTAACCTGGAACTATTTTGGCACATGACTTTTACATATAAACAATACAGATACAGGGAGGGAATCTAAGTAATTGTTTCCCTAGATTGGCTCAGATTATTGCCACGAAGTAGTGCTTTGGGGTTACTAAAGAAATTTCATGTATATATTGTATTTACAATATATATTCTAATTTAAAAATGTCCCATGATACTCAGTAATTCACATACCTTCTGTAAAATAATAATCATTTATTGAAAGCATATGAAGTTCTAAGAATGAGCTAAGTGTTTTATATAAATTATATTCTTTAATCTCTACAACAATTTTTACGAAGTCTTATTGGAAATAGTTTACAGATAACACATATTCCGATGAGATGAATTAACATATCTGAGATTAAGTAATAAGCAAATGTCACAGTCATATTTCTGACCCAGGGCTATTGGTTTAGCCAAACCACACTTCATTGACTGTACCATGCTAAAAATATTCCCTTATCTTTTTTATAAAGTCAGGTTTGTTGCAGTACAATTTATTGTATTAGTTTCCTATTGCTCATCTTACACATTTTCACAAACTTAAAAGATGGTTGAAAGCAGCACATATTTATTCTCTAGCTTAGAACTCCAAAATCCATCTCACTGGCTGTTGCCAGGCCTAGTTCTTTCTGTAGGCTCTGAGGGTGTATCAGTTTCCTTGCCTTTCCCAGCTTCTAGTGGCTGCCCACGTTCCTTAGTTTATGGCACCTTTCTGTTCGAAGTCAGCAACACAGCATCTTCAAATCTTTCTCTGACCCACTCTCCTGACTCTGTCTTATAAGGACCCTTGTGATTAGATTGCATCCACCCAGATAATTCAGGATAATCTC